TGATCTTCATATAGAGAACAATTCCATCGCATAAATTGTGACGCGTCATTGCAAATTATTTGCAGCAAAAAAAGTATTGAGATAGAAATAATAAATTGACGATCTTCCATTTATGTCAGATTTAAGAACAATTCTGTAATATGGAAGCTAATATCTACTGTAAATATCGACAATCTCTTCGAAATAGAATGCTCTAGCCAACATAAGAACATGATTTTTGCAAAAAAGAAAAATATTGAAAACCAGTATTTTCTGAAGGAAATCCAGGATTTCCTGAGAGAAAATAAATCTATGTGAGCGAAGCGTTTTCACTATATCAAATGTATTTAGGAATGTATGAAGTTCTGCTGTGACTCGATTGTTAGTCATCAGATTATTATCAAAAGATCACTGTAATAGCAGAACATGTTAACAATAAATTTAGATGATAAGAATATATGGAATAGTAGGATTTATCGACTAGTAATCTTCAAACAAAAACGAATGAGAGTAAGAGTGTAGTTTATATCTCCGATGCTAATTTCAAAGGAAAACAACTCATTTTAAATCATTTAGCTCTCATAAATCATATACAAATCGATAAGAATAAGTGATTAGTTTTCTATATTGTTTACACAATACTTATTGCTATTCAATTGAGTGCGGCATATTCTCACAGGCATAATATTTCATAAAAGTTCCAATATCCTAAGGTATTGTTTTCTTTAACCAAATTTTTTGTAGTTAGATCACAACAAATATCGTTTTCGTTCATTCTCGTTCAAACTGACTCTTATTTCGAATCTAGCTATTCAATGGTAAAATCTTGTTTTCTGGTATATACCGTTTTTGCATTAAATTCAATCGGGGAATAAAGATTATAGATTTAAACACAAAGAACTTCATCTAATAGACATTGTAATAATTGTTAATTTTTCAAAATAAATCTTGCACAGTAAAACATTTTATTTCTTTTGAAAAGCACTGACTTTGATATTTGATTAAGTAATTAACATCCGACTTAAAAAAAATTATTGTCATAGGCAATGACAACTCACATCTGACAATGTTTTTCACAAAATCAATCTTGACAAAGGAAGCGAATTAATCATTTTTATTAACATATATGATTTTTTTCTGCTGCAAATATTTTACTTTAAACAGATTATTTAAGAGAACATAACTTTCTGGTATTTTCACACTCGCAATTATAATAAATCTAATTTTTTTAATGATCTTTTGTTTTAGTTGAGTAAATTTAACAGCGAGAAAAGTCAGACGTTAGTCTACGTATAGATTAACAGTAAGAAAGCTGATATCGAAAGAATATTCAAATAAACAGATTACCATTTTGCCAATAAGATTTCTGTTCAGTGCAGATTTCTAAACGAGAAGATGATTCTTTGTAAATTTTAGTTTGTGAGAGTATTGAAATTTGGATTCAATCTCAACTATATGAAGAGTAACAAAGTGAATGTTTACAATGTAATCTATTCAGATCAAGAAAAACATTGCATCATGTAATCTTCTTTTCTTGTTTATTTCAGGGTGTGCGTCCAGTTAGTGCTGATCCAATGCAACCATCGATATTGTATGTATATGATTAATTCCAGTAGATGATGAGAAGAATCTTTTCTACTAGATTTGGATATTTTGACATGAGAAAATTAACACGAATCCTTTTTTCTATTCTTGTTCTTATTTTAATCGTGGCTATTTTAACAACTGTTTTTCTTACGAAAAAAGCAAATGATGAAAATACATCAATAATTGAAGGATCAATCATTTCAGAGATGATCGAAACCACAAGCAAAGGTATAGTCTTATCATTATAAGAAATGATTTGTATATAAACTATTTCAAAATCAATGTTTCATTGAGTCTTGATCAAATTAATCGAATTCGGCAAAACTCTCTGAGCTTCTGATTGATATGACTACGATATAATGGTTAGAAAACAGATGGCATGAGCTTGATAGATTCTTAGTAGAGGTGTAAGCCGATGAGTCGATCGGCGGCGGCGGGAAATTTATAAAAAGAAATTTTTTTATAAAATTGAAAAATATCTTTGTTTCAGTATATCAATCATTATAGTCTGTTCAAAAAATCTTGAAGGTGTGGGTATGAAGTTGGTATTATATTCAAACACACAGTCACATTCACTGACCTACCCACAGCCACACCCTAAGTAGAAGATCATATTTATGAATTTCGTGTTCTAGCTGAAAATGAAGCTGGAAAAGGAACACCATCTGATGCAACTACACCAACTGAGTATATAGAAATAAATTCTTTTAATATTTCTAAATAAGATTTTTTATTTTATTAGGTCAAAGATCCGAATACATCTACTACTGCAGCAGAATTTCTTAAGAAATTAAAAGATGCTGAATGTAATGAAGGTAAAACAATTACATTAGAATGTAAAGTTATCGGAACACATAAACCTGATTTTGAATGGTTTGTTTGTTTCTTTTTTTTCGTTAATTAGTTATATCAAACTATTTCTTTGTAATAAATAATTAGGCTCACAGGTACGAAAGAAATCGCTCAAGATGCTAAATATACTATAACACGTGATGGTGATAAATGTATTTTGGTAATTGATAAAGCTACACCAGATGATCTTGATGAATATAGCATTAAAGTACGTAATAAAGGTGGTTCAAGAATGTGTCGTTGTAATCTTAATGTCCGATGTAAGTTTAAATATATAAATAAAAATAAATTTTTCAATTCTGTATTTTTTTATTTCTAGCACCACCAAGATTTCGTTTACCACCAAAATATGAAGATGTTCTTAATTATGATAAAGGTGAAGCAATTGTTATAAAAACTCCTTATATTGGTATAGTCTATTACCTAATGTAATGTTATCGAAAGATGGAAATGATATAACAAAAGATAAAAATGTTTCAATTGATATTAGTAATCGAGCTATTACGTTAACTATTTGAAATGGAGAAATCAACTTCAATGTCTCATTAATACGTCTTGAATACAATTTTACTCAAAGCTTTGAAAATTTTCATACAGATAAAAAAGCTTTCAGCACATTCTCTTGGGCATTAAAAATGTGAGACATGAAATAGCTACTGCAACATCAGTTAATACCAATCAATAATGTCTGTCACGATCTATGATACTAATTTTTATGAGTTAAGTTATACGGATTAATTATTAATAATCAATTTATATTCATTGATTCATGACAAATAATTAATGCTAGTTAATTAATATTTATTAATAACGCCTGTTACGGTCTGAGGAGGAAACGGGAGATGGGTAGGATTTGTACTCTTAAACATTCCAACACTCCTTTTAATTCGTGTGTCACAAAAACTTTTTATTATTATGCAACATTATGTGTATAAGTTTAAGTAGGATTATTCTAGATTTCTTTCCTGATCATTACGATTTAGAAGAAAATTCATTTTTGCAAAGATATATTGGATACAAAAATAAATTGAAATGATCCGAACTGAAAGTAGAATCGAATTTTGTCAAACAAACATTTGGTCTTCCTATAAAACTTGATAATATAATTATATTTGAGCTTTGTATTCAATTTATTTGTTTCTATTTCAGATAAAATACGATTACTGGTTCTTTCATCGTTCTGGTCATCATCTTCTACTTATTTTCAATATCTAGTTAACATATTATTTCATTTATTTTCGTAAGTATTGGCACTGAGGGTGTGGGTGTGGGTTAGAGATGTGCAGGGTAAGCATTTTTCATACCCTGACCCTACCCTATGAAAATTTCTTTTACCCTGACCCTACCCTACCCTATCTCCACCGTACCCTTACCCTACCCTACCCTACTATCTCCACCATTTATCGTACCCTGACCCTACCCTACCCTATGCTATTTAAATCATTACCCTACCCTACCCTACCCTACCCTACTAATTGAAATTTTTTAATCAAAGAATAAGTACGTATGATAAATAACTTTTTTCTATTTATTTCCAAATAATAATAACTTTTGACTATTCAATACATTTTCTGAAATTTCTTAATAACAAAATATCGTTCACAGCATCTTCGTTTAAATTTTGTCTTCTTTCTTGTAATATTCGACTACTAGCACCGAAAACTCTTTCGCTCTTTTGTTGTGGTTAAAGTTCCTTCTTTCAGTTGACGAATTACTGCTTTTTTTTGTTTAATGTGAGCTCGAGGAGAATTTGTAGACATATTCATACAGACAAAAATATTTAATTTTTCAAAAAACATTTAGTATTATAAATAATGAATAAAGGAATTTTGTGCGAGAAAGTATATAAACAGACAATTATATTGGGATCTGTCTTTTGATTTTGTTTTTCTTTTATCTAGTATATTTGTGCGTTTGTATTTTAAAGAAAATTAATATATGCAAGAGAAAGATGTCGTTCTATAGTGATATATCTAGTTAAAAAAATTTTACCCTTACCCTAACCTTACCCTACAACTCTCTTACCCTGACCCTACCCTACCCTACTATCTCCACCATTTATCGTACCCTGACCCTACCCTACCCTACGACTCTCTTACCCTGACCCTGCCCTACCCTGCAGGGTAGGGTAGGGTAGGACAGGGTAAGGGTACCCTGCACATCTCTAGTGTGGGTACACTAACATAACAACTATCACACCCATACCCCGCATCCCCACCTTAGAAACGTGTTATTTTCGATCCTACTTATCTTATTGGGCATACGTAGCTTCTTACAGATTTGCTGATATGACTTTCTCCTTTCTTTCCTTTTTTATTAATCTGACTATTGTTACTATTGATTCTTCACAACAAACGACAGAGATATAACTAATTTTTTTAACGTACCATACTCAGTTGTTTTCACTTAGAGGCACTTAATGGCAAGCACGACATCATCACCACTCGTCGTCATTGTATCCGGTGGTGGACCGGTTGGACTCACATTTTCGCTTAATATTGCCGCGATGATGGGTAAACATGTCAAAATTATTATTTATGAAGGTCGATGGTTTGTTGATGAACATGGTATTACTCGTTGGCAAGGTGAAGAGCAAGGCAACATTCGTCGTGATCAAGTTGTTACTTTACAAGACCATGTTATTGAACAAATGCCTACTTTTATTCAAGAAGGTCTGTTCCAAAAGATAAACGAACGTGTATGGCCAACATCAAGAAATATTCCAATAAGAGAAGTTGAAGATCGACTTCTTGATCTAATTCAACCGTTTGTTCAAAATAGTCAAGTGGAATTAATTCCTGAACAATTAAATGAACAATCTAGACATTTGATCGAAGGTAAATAGACGTTGTTTTTTCTTGTTGTTTTAAAGATGTATTCAATTAAAATTTTGTATAGGTGATTTTGATGTATTAGTGGGTGCCGATGGATCGAATTCGTTTGTTCGTCGTTACTGTAATATTCAAATGATCAGTGAAGGCATCGAATATGCATGTGGTGTGGCATATAATATACCTGAAGATGTGCCACCATTAGATGGACCTCTCCATCAAGCACTTAATTGTATATTAACGATCTCACAAACACGTTATTTATTGAACTCGTCAGCGAGCCGTCGAGGTTATCTTAATATTCGTTTAATTCAAAATGAATATGAAGAGTTACGTGAATGTCTGCAACCATTTCAAAATCGTAATGCATCTTTAAATTTATTAGATTATGACAAATGTCCATGTTCACCTGTATGGTCAATTGTTCGACAAGGATTGGACTTTTTTAAAATATCTGCAAAATATGTTATTCGTGTTGTACCAATCGAGATTAATGTTCGACATGCATCAATTGTCGTTCGAGAACTTCGTTTTGAAATTAACAAAACACAACCAACAGCATTGGCATCAAATAATTTAACATCGGCAACAGAGAATGTAAGTGGTAGTGAGAAAAAACAATTTAAGACAATGTTAGCATTTCTTGCTGGTGATGCCGCAATGAATGTACATTTTTGGCCTGGTCGAGGTATGAATAGTGGAATGAAAGCAGCTATGACACTTGCTCGAAATATCTTTCGTACGTGTACATCTACAATATCACCTTATTCAATCGAAGTTCGTACTCCACTTCGATTCCTCGATTTTCTCGACTATGAAGGTTTCATGGCTCGTCTTAGAGCACGTGAGCAACAAGGTCGTTCATTACGTATTCTTATGGATCCGATCGATACAAGTGTTGGAGGAGCTTATACCTATCCTCATTTACAACCTTGTTATAAAACATATACAAAGAACTTGTATGAAAAGTTGAAAGAAACAAGATTACGACTGGATCAACGATCCGATTGGCCTCATCAAACAAAATCAGTAACCGATGAAGAATTACAATCAGCATATAAACGAATTAATCCTAATGCTGTCGCTCAACTTTCATTAGCTAATCCATGGCCAACACGAGAAATGAGTGGGACTGAAGTTCTTGTCGAAGATAGTTTTCCGTTCAAACAGGAACAATTTTTACCTGTACCAACGATAGGAGAAGTCACTTTAGATCGTCCACCAAGCAAAATCATTCAACATCACTTTCTTATTTTGTGCATCACTGGTGACAATATGAGTGAAAATACAAAGAAAATTATTGATTCAATTAAGACTTCTCCTAAATTCACCAATCCATCAACAACAGCTCACGAACTACATGTAGTTTCTACTATCGAAGAAGCTCAAGAGTGGATAGCGAAGAATAATGAACGTTTAGGAAAGCAAGGCATTCTCTTCAAAGTGATTACTACATGGTCCCTTAACAAAGAAAAAACGGCAGTAGATGTAATTCGAGCAGTTCGTGCTGGTGCATCACATATTCCCGTATTGATTCTTACGGATAAATCTGAAGAAACACAGTCAGCACTTGACTTTCCAAATGTTATTACTACTTATGAAGTATATGAGGTGAATGCATTCGTTGGTATTAATCAAGAGACACAGTGGAATCCAGGCTGCCCTGTATCACCTAAGAAGAACTCACCATATACTTCAGGTATGTGTCTGATTGCGATAGTATGAGAATGCTGAAAGGCAACATTAGTGACGTAGCTAAAGGTTTTGGTGTGGGTTGCGTGGATGTGATTGGGAATGGATGGGTGTACATGTCTGTTCTTCAACCCATCACACCCACACTCTATTTTTCTATTATTGTCAAATAAATTATTGTATTTTCTTTCTATTAAGATTCTTCTCAATCTAATCACTCAACAATCAGTACAGCGACTATGTCAAAGAATCCAATAACAACAAATCAAATATCAACTCAATCTCAAATAAAACAAAGTATGTTTCATTAAATAAAAAATAATTTTAGTATCTTGAAAATTGAGATCAAACTTTTTCATAAATTATTTTTATTAATTAAATAACAATTAAAATTCATTTTCTAAATAGTATTATTCTTTGGATAAGAAATAACAATTTCTCTTAAAGCAATAATCATACAATCATTCATAGTTTGACTCTTTTTTATTGTTTATATCACTTAATATAACACTGAAAAGACATTTCATCCATCGTTTTCGAATTATTTTTCCTATTGAGATATTGAGAACATTATTGAATAAATGTTTAAAATGAAAATTCTTTTGAAAAATAACAAAGTTTATTTTCATTTAAAATATTTTTTATAAATTAATTTATATGAATAAGAACTAAATTCGAGATCGAATGTTTTCTTTTCTAATTAAAATAAGCATCTATAGAATTGTTAATCAAATTAATCAGTTCGAATAGGTTTTTAAAAAAACAAAATAATGTTCTCTTAAGAATTGAATATATTTATTGAAAATTAAAATTAATTTCATTGACTTTTTTTTCATCCTAAAAATATTTTCATTGTATTCTGATTAATTAATTAATTATTAAAAATAAAATAGAGTTTATTTTACAAATAATATCATTATTTTATCTATAGAATTTATTCAAAATATTTATTTATGTTAATAAGAATAATTCGATTAGATATTATCAATTCATTTTTTAGTTTAAATATTTATTCTAAAACAATTCTGTTTAATAAATAATTCGAAAAACCATTTATTCTATTAACTATTTTTTATAAAATAATTAATTGATTTGTTTTTTAAAAGATTTATTCTAATAGCAAATTCAAAGCTAAACAAGTTTCTGAGAATAAACAGAATTTTTATTTTTTTTCATTTGAAAAATCTCTTTTAGTATTTTAATATAAAAAGATAATCTTGTTTTCACGTTGTTCGAATAAATTTAAGATAAGTTTAACTCTTTAGTTTACAATTTTCAAACAAAAGAATTATTTAGTTTATTAATAAAAAAAAAGTTTCCAATGAATTTTATTTAAAACATTGAAATAAAAATGATTTTCATTTAAAAAAATATTTTTTCTGAATTAAACTTTTATGAAAATCAAATAAACAGTTTTTAATTAAAAAATCTGAAGAAATTCTTTGAAATTAATTTTGTTCGATTAAAAATTAAATTTGACAAAACGAAAATTTTATTTTATCAAACAAATTCAAATACAAGTTTTTCTTCTTATTTTCGTCCCTTTTTGATTTAAAAATAATAAAAAGATTTTGAATAAAATGAAAGTTCTTTTATTTTAGAAGAAATTCAAACAAAAAAGAATAAATTTCAACAATTTGGAATCACTGTTGCTGGACGAAATGGAAACGGACACAAATTGAATCAACTCTATAATCCTGAAGGGATCTTTATTGATAATGATAAATCAATTTATATTGCTGATTTTTTTAATCATCGTATTGTTAAATGGAAATTGAATTCAAATACTGGTCAAGTCATTGCAGGTGGAAATGGAAAAGGAAGTGAAAATAATCAATTGGATTGTCCAACAAATATTATTTATGATAAAAGAAAAGATTCTTTTATTATTTCAGATTGGGAAAATAAACGAGTAATTCGACATTTTGATCAAAATCAAACAAATCCACAAATTATTATTTCACATACTAATTGTTTTGGTCTGACAATGGATAAAAATGGATTTATTTATGTTTCTGATCGTGGAAATCATGAAGTAAGACGATGGAAACAAGGAGATAAAAAAGGTGAATTAGTTGCAGGTGGAAACGGTGAAGGAAATCATCTTAATCAACTTGATCATCCTACTTATATCTTTATCGATGAAGATTATTCTCTTTATATATCAGATGAAAGGAATCATCGTGTAATGAAATGGAAAAAAGATGCAAAAGAAGGAATTATTGTTGCTGGTGGAAATGGTCAAGGAAATAGTCTCAGACAATTATCTTGTCCTGAAGGAGTGATTGTTGATCATTTGGGTCAAATCTATGTGGCAGATTCTGGGAATGATCGAATAATGCGTTGGTGTGAAGGAGATGAAGAAGGTGAAATTGTTGTTGGTGGAAATGGTTGGGGAAATCAATCAAATCAATTGCGTTGTCCCACAGGTTTATTATTTGATAATGAAGAAAATCTTTATGTTGTTGATAGTCAAAATCATCGAGTCCAAAAATATGAAAAACTTTGAAATTAAAAATATTTTCAACTTAATTTGATAAAGTTTAGATTTTTATTTTTGAAAATAAATAAAAAAGACATTAGTTTATGAAGAAATCTCGAAGAACATAAATAAAAATCAATAAATAAAACTTCTTTCAATAAAATAAACAAATAATTATTAATTTTAATTTTAAGATAAGAAAAAACCAAAATGAATAAAATAATTCGAATAGAATTTTTCATGAATGTATCAAATTAAAAGAATTTGAAAGAAAATTGAATTAGAAAAAATTTAATTTTTATAGAAAATCAAATAAAATATTTTTCAAATTGAGAAAACATTGAAATTAATAACGAAAAACTTGTAAATAGAAGTCTTATCAGATTTATTTTTGTGATTTTATGACTTATTGAGAGAAAGGAAGGAGAGATGAAAAAAAAATAAATGAATAAGAATGAAATCTGTCAAAACCAAAAGATTATATTAAGAAAGTCTTGAGGGCGTGGCTGTGGGTGAGTAAGTGAATGTGACTATGCGTTTGAATATTATATCAACTTCATACCCACACCCTTAACATAAAACAGTTAAGAAAATAATTTCTTTTTTATTTTTATTAAAAATCATATATTACTCTATGAATTTAATGATAATAATAAATCATGAATAGATAAAAATCTTATTTATTATTTTATAGGATTGTACAAATTCATGATAATTTGAATAAAAATATCTGAAAGATGAATTTGTATGAATGATGATGATTTAATATTATTGTTTAAAAATAAAAGATAATTAAATTGAACTAATTAAACAATTTTTATGTAATAACAAAGATAATTTGAATAATATTAAAGAAAAGAGATATAAATTATTTAAGATTTATTCAATTGAATTATTAGATTTCTTTTTTGAAAATTTAAGAAAAACAAAAATTCAATTATTTCTTTTAAATAGAATGAAAACGATGGGATAAATTAATGTTTACTTTCTTATTTAACAAATTTAGAATTGATAAGTTTATCGAAAAGAGTATTGATTATATCTGAAAGAATACAACCAAGAATCAATTTATCAAATTATATTTGAGAAAAAAAAACAATTTTCATATGTGAAAAACTCATTGACGAATTCGAGAATTTCTATTTGACTAGATAAAATTGAATTTTAATTAACAAAAACTATTCATTCGATATTACACAATATTTTCATCTATAAGACATTAATTAAACAATTCTTGATATTTTAAAATAAAAATAAACTCAATTAGATTTAAAAAAAATTCTTTCAGACAAAAAATTCAAAATATAAAAAATTAATTTAATATCTTATTTGACATATATATAGATATGTGATAATCGTTTAAATTCATTTTATTATGTAACGTTTTTTTGTTTTAATTGAGAAAACGATCATTAATTCCAATCATCGCAGATACTTCCTATTGTCATTGCTCTGCAGCTTTTCTTAGTGAATCTTTTAACAAAAAGAAGATCAAACTTCTATTATATATCTATGCTGAGATATATAGAAAAACCTTTTTCAGATATCCGATTATTTACAATGCTTTTGTTTTGATGATTAAATCTTATTTGTTTACTCCAATATAGCTTTACTTTTCATTTAAATCATTTCTATTTATCAATGTTTTTATTTTCAACTTTCTAAAATGTTACTTTTCTTCATCTTATTTACTTTTCATTTTTCAATCTCGTTTCGTTCCGGAGCACTAAAAATCTATTTCATCAAAAATAAAACGTGTTTTTTTT